CAGAATAGGATCTGTAAGACGCACAATCCCTCCAATTGGGTTCTCATGTTCAACATGAACTTTTTTGAGCTTGTGGTAAAGCGCCCCAGTCATGACCCGCCAGGTCGGACATTTTTCAATTGTCTTCAGGTCGCTCTCGGCATGGCTGTGTACAACAACGAGATCATACCTGCATTCAGATTCATCATGGAAGATCCATATGAGGTTAGTTGACGTAAAGACGACAGCGCGGAACAGTGCGGTTGTTTTAGGTCGGCTCTCGTCTAGCCTTGTATTGCATGACTATGTCCCTTGGAAACGTTTTCATATTCCTCATGCAGAAGGAGTTTGGCGCATTGGCTGTGGCCAAGACCACCACAGTTAGAAAGCTGGTCAGTGTGGTAAGTCTTCGGTCCACTTCGAGTCGCTTTAGTTCGGCTCCTAGGTTTTATCCGTATTGATGTTCGGTCACAGAATACTCCCTGTACAGTGGTTGGCAATTGGTGTAGTTTTTACAGCGCCCATGACGGAGAAACGAATCAATAAGTGGAGAAAGTCTATTACTAGAGGGAAGAAGCACGACTAGAGCTCAACTTGAGTGTGCTGTTTCTACATTGTATTTGCTCTTGGGCCATAAACGTAGTGATGATGGAACATATAATGATGAAGAAAACACCCTCTCACTACTGTCGCTACTAATGCCCTGTTATTTGTAAACCGGCTAGCATTGTTGTTGAGTATATGTCTGAATGAATATTATTGTCTTCCTACCTAAATGCTCCGTCTTCCTGGTTTATTCCCCTGTGACACTTGTACCGTGACAGTACAGTTTGGGTCAAATGGCAGTCACGAGACCTTGCAATCCTCCTAGAATGTTAGGAATCTAAAAAATGAGCCTGACATGAGAGATTTTACCTCCCAGGGTAGGGCCATATGTATCTGCTATTTTCGTACACTGTCGTGAGAGAAGTCACTTAGGATCGGCCCCATATGTCATCATGCTGTAGATCTCTTACGCTTCTTGGCTCGTACTGCTGCGTATCTGGTGTGTACGCTGCTTATTATAGCTGTGATATTGCCTAACTTGCATCTGAGTGATGGATCATGGTACGTTCTCTGCGTATTCACGGTTGTATTATCACTCCCTTCATTGCCGCTTATTTCGCGTGGAAGATAGGCCTCAACAGCGCGTTGTTGTGGTACGCTGTCCTTATCGTCTCACAAACGTGTGGCGTCATATGATATGACGACAGGGTGTGTCCGAGTCTGTATGACTCATATGGACTTGAAAACTCTTTGTTATGATGCGCGGGGAGCTATCGAAGCTAGCAAACTTATCAGGCTCCTATCGCGGGAGTGTTCTTGAAGGTCCACAGAGAGTGCAAACTCTTAGGACACCTCAAGGGCGTCAAATTCTATCGTCCAGGGAACAGCAGGTCACTGCCGTCGCCCGTTGCAGTATTCGTAGATGGAAGTAGTACGAGAAGATCCAATTATGTCGCATGTAAGGCGTCCGTCTCTCTTCATATACCCATGGGCGTGCTAACCTGATTGGGATTACCTCATTTGAGTGCTAGCATTGTTACTTTTCCCTATGTCTCATCGCCTTTGTGTTGCAACTAGTGGGTTGGTGACTATACATCATCCTACAGGGTATGCCGAGGAATGACAAAGTCGCATAGAGGAGGTGAATGCTCGAATACAATTTGATAAGTGATTTGATGGCATAGGTGCCCCGTTTTTAACACGTCTAGTCTATATGATGGGGCCGCTATGCCAGCGGACGATATCGCTCTGGAGCTAATTAGGGGGTGGGGCCGCTATGCCAATGGACTATATCATTACGAAGTTGTGAGTGGGTGGTGATGACTATTGTTTCTGATGAAAGGTGGTACATCGATATATTTTCGCCTTGAGTCATCAGGTGACTCTCATCCTCGAAGAATGAGGCGCCTGTGCCAGGTAGTCATGGAGTTTGGCCCCTTCCGATGTGAGCGAGTTTATCCACAGTAAAAAAATTCACAAGGTGGAGTTGACTGAGGAACGCTGAAGGTTGCCGCGCTCAAGAGGATCTGTCGTCGCTATCTGAGCATTGGTTATTTGAGCTCATCATTGCTGTCCTCTTCGCTGCGTTCAAGTCGGCCAGTACGGTACAGCATTCATCTGTACAGGGCTCAGTTCTCAATCTATCATCACCAATTGTAGCTCCCTCTGGCAGCATCCTTTACGCGGCCAGCCGACGTAAGGTGGCACATGTCATTCAAGCTGTAGCCCATTCGAGGCTGAAAAGGAGGAAGACTGTCAATGACGACTCGACACTATTGAACCTCAATAAGTTCGGCGAGGATGTCCTCCAAGATCTTCTGGACTCCGGTTATGAGATTGTAGCCGCTGGTGTAACCAGCAGCTCTGATGAAGAGGGCGTGGCTCACGAGGGCTTCCCTGACAACATCAGTGCGGACCTCGAACTGGGTCCCATCCGACGGCAAGGAGATTCCAGTTCTCCGCATCAGCTTGTTCTAGGAAGGGTGCAGGGAATGGCTCTGGGTCAGGAAGGTAGTAGTCTAGATTAGCCACCCATCGTCCAAGCCTGGCCCTCAGGCATGGCTACTTATGGTTCTGCGTGCCTG